GGAATGGAATCTTGCATGGCCGTTATTAGATTTTTCATAATACTTTGTTTGGCTAGCAGACAAATAATTATTCCCCCAATAATCAATCAGCAATTAACCGCTTGTTCCTCTCACTTGCCAAAAGTGCCTCAATTTTTTACTTCTTCCTTTTTGATCTTAGCCACTTTCATTTTTTCAATCGTTCCTAATTTTTCGTGCTCTTCTTTTGTTTCAACATTGGTTATATATTTCGGAACCTTGGCGGCAACCCCGTCCAATTTTTTAGCTACTGCGGGTATTTGAGCCACAAAACTACCCACTAAAAAAAATCCGGCTACTGCCAATATTATTTTTCTGGTCCTATTAAGGCGAGGCGGGGAGGACTCCTTGCTTAAGTTGTCCGAAACAGAGGTGGGTGCTTGCCGGTGGCGACTACAATACCAGATATTAAAGAGAATAATAATTGAAACAAAAAGGGCTAATGAGGCCACACGGAAGCCAATTCCGGTCAGGCCAGTATAATTGATTTTTCCCTTGACCTCACTAAAGCATTGATTAAAATGAGTAGTAATTCTTTCGGTCGAGACTAAGCCTAGCAACCCGGCCACCGAACCACTATAAAGACAAAGGACAGAGGAAAAAAAATCAAATCCCATGGCTAGTAGGAGCGGAATAACTAAGAGATAGAAGTGAATTAATTCGTCAAATCAGGACAAATTAGAACTTAGCAGAGCCGCACAAATAGTAATCAAACCAATAGTAAAATATTTTTTTTTCTGCAATCATTTCCGCTTGGAAGCAAAAAGGGCTTGAAAGGCCTTACTTTGTAAAATAGCGTGTAAAAAAAAGGCGAACGCAAAAATTGATAATCCTTGACCTGTAAACTTTTCCCCAGCCGTCTTCAGAAAATAAGGAAAAATATCGGTTATTCCTGATTTGGTTTTTGCTAAACTAGGAATTCAAGTTAAAAATATGGTTAAAATACTGATTGCAAAAGTTAACAAAAAAAACATAAAAATTTGTAAAGTTGATTAAAAATAGTTTGATGCGAATATTTGTTGTAAAAGATTTTGTATTTTCCGCCACTTCCAAGTGGCTTGATTAAAGAATAATTTTTTTTGATTTGGATAAATATTTCCTGAAAATTCATATTTTATTAATATTATTTTATACTTATTAGCGTTATACCCCAAATAAAATAATAAATATGCCTCAACCTTGTTTTTTTACTGGCATTCAAGCCAGCGGCACCCTTACTTTGGGAAATTATTTGGGTGTAATCCGCCATATTTTAGAAATACAAGATAAATACGAGGTAATTATTATGATTTGCGACTTACATGCCTTAACCGTTCCTAAGCCTAACTTCAACTATCGGGAAGTCGGCCACGAAATCGCTGCTTTATTATACGCTTGCGGGCTAAAAGAGGAAAATTGTAAAATATTCATTCAATCGGAGATAAAAGAGCATGTTGAACTGGCTTATTTGCTTTCTCCGCACATCACGGTTAGCGTTTTGTCTAATATGATTCAATACAAGGAAAAAAAAAAAGAGAAAGAATCTGGCAATTTGGCGTTGTTGTCTTATCCGGTTTTAATGGCAGCGGATATTTTTCTCTACGATGCGGACTTGGTTATTGTCGGTCAGGACCAAACCCAACATCTCGAATTAGCCACTAATATCGCCCAAAAATTCAATAATTTTTACAACAAAAATCTGCTAAAAATCCCGAAATTTACTATCCCTCATTTGGGAGCTAAAATAATGGGTCTAAAAAACCCACAAAAAAAAATGTCAAAAAGCGAGAATGATTTTCTGGCCTTATTAGACAACCCGCAAGTCGTTGCCAAAAAAATTAAAGAAGCGGAAACTGATAGTGAAAATAAAATTTACTACGACCCGACTAAAAAAGCCGGTATTTCCAACCTCTTAACCATTTACGCTTTGTTAAAAAACCAAGAGATAAGAGAGGCTGAAAAAGAATTACAAAATCTCAACTATCACCAATTTAAACTCAAACTTATTGATTTACTTAATGAAAATTTGGGAAAAATACAAAAAAAATATGGTGATTATCAACCGAAAATTAAAGAAATAATAAAAAAAAATACTGAATACTTAAAAATTTTAGCCGCCCAAAAACTGAACTTAATCAAAAAAGAAATAAAATTTAATTAATAATGTATGGTCGAAAAATGTCTCAAATATAGAAATAAATTTAGCCTTAAAAATCCTTGTGAAGAAAATGGTTTTGAAAATGATGATTATGGTCGTAAGTGAGAATATTGTCAAGAGCATGGTTGTGTAATATGTTTGGGTATAACGAGAAGCCATGGCATAAAAAAAGAACCAATGCACGATGGTTTTTGAAGATGTAACACTAAAGAATGTAATGAAAATTATAAGAGAATAAAAATCAAAAATACTGAAGCAAATACCAAATTATTTAATGCAGTTGAAAAAATTAAACGTTCTCTAGCCAACGTTAGTCCACGGAGTAGTTTTTTAGAACATTATGTTGAAGCATTAAGGCATTATGAAGCCGAAGCAATTAAAAAAAATGTAGTTTATGAAAAAATTATGAGTCCTGTGGATCTAAAATTTATTAAGGATTCGATTGACGCTTCTAATGAGTTAAATCAAGAAGAAAAAGAGGGATTGAAGAGTATCTACGCTAGCGATGACATTGAAAGTGTTCTTAAAATGAAAGAGACGGTTTTTACTCATATATTAGAAGAAAGAAATTTAAAAGCAGCAAGGAACGATTTCATTAAAAACAAGTTAGAAAAATTGGATGGTTGAAACTTACTCAGTCATAGCCAACAACAAGGTTATAATGATGAAATTAGAAAAACTAGAAATCCCTCTCTTTTCGATTCCGTCCTTAATGCTGCCAAAACAAAAATAGCAGAAATAAAAAGCAATGATAATAAGAGAGAGAGAGAGAGAGAGAGAGAGAGAGCAAAATTGCTGATTGCTGAGATAAAGGCTGAGTTAGACGGCCCTCCACTATTAAATATTGACGAATTAGATAGTAAATTCCATGATTACGAAAATTTGACTCTGAATGAATTAGAAGCCATTAAAAATGACCTTATTGCGACTATTAAAAACCGCCGAGCCACAAAAAAATTGAGTGAATTGCTGAGCCAGGCTAAAACCTGTGCGGATAGTGATTTGTGAAGCTTCATTAAAAGATTAGAAAATTTTGCTTCGTCAACA